AAAGTCGTTTGCATAGTCAGTGCAAGTTAGACAAGTTGGGCCTTGTTTTTGTATGGCGTATCGGCAATAAACTGAATGTCGTCGATGTGTCTGACCTGGCCAAAGGTACGCTACCAACGATGGCACTTGGCAGATTTCTCCAACACAACGCCAAGCTAGACTTTCAGCTACGCTGGGTGTCCTAGAGACGACATCCAAGGCTCGCGCCGGACTTCAACGCGAAAGAGCACGGGCTTGTCATTTCCTGTGGTATCTCGTCACAGCCCTTTGTTGATCGAGCTTGAAGAACGCCGCGTGTATTCAAGGCGCGCATCGGCCACGCCCAAGCGATCGCGCGTGTTACAAAACGTTTTAAAAACTTTCTCAATTTTTTCATTACCCGCCCTTCTCTGCGAAACCCTCCACATCGTCGTCATCCACGGTAGCCTGAAGCCACGATGCGTCGTTCTGTCGTAGGTTCCATCAACTACCAAGGGAACGACGGCTACTCGCTACTACTCGTCAAAGCCACAAGCCGGCTTGGCCCCCAAGAAAACGCGAATGAGCAACCCAACTTGAAGACACCTGCCACCTGGTACATACAACAGACGGCAGCATACAACGTGTGGTTCTCCGCTCATGATACTCCAGACATGCTGTGCAGGTGCTGGGAGAGGCGTGTGTGTGAGTGAAGGTGGGCAATTTGTTTTGGCCTGTCACACCAGTCGTTCGGCAACCTCCCTCATTTCTCGGCATCTCATTTTTCAATCGACTCGACCACCACCACAATGAACGTCCAAGCAGCGTACTCCCAGTGGGCTACCATCTACGACACCAACGCCAACAAGACGCGCGACTTGGAGACGCTCGTCGGCCAGCGCTTTCTCCTCGAAGAGCAAATGACCTTTGAGCATGTGCTCGAGCTCGGCTGTGGCACAGGCAAAAACTCAACCTGGCTTGCACCCGCAACACGCCGCCTCACGAGCGTCGATCTCACTGCGTCGATGCTTGCGGTCGCCCGCACCAAGGTGCCAGCTTCCCACGTTCAGTTTCTGCAAGGCGACCTCCTCGCGCCGTCGTGGGACGCGTTTGCCTCGCCGAGCTCCGTAGACGTCGTGACGTTCAGCCTCGTCCTCGAACACATTGAGCACCTGGATCCAATCTTTGGGAAGGTCAACCACGTGCTCCGACCCGGCGGCCTTGTGTATATTGGCGAGCTCCACCCGTTCAAGCAGTACGCGGGCACGAAGGCGTGTTTTGAGACCGAGGATGGCACCAAGCAAATCGTGTCGGCTTTCACGCACCACGTGAGCGACTTTGTGTCTGCGGCGCAAGCGTGCGGCTGGACGGTGGAGCGACTCGGCGAGTTCTTTGACAATGACGATCGTCGCACGGTGCCCCGCATTCTCGGTCTTCTCTTCCGAAAGCCCCAGTAGAGATTTCGCTGGCGTTTCTCAACACAAACAATGTCGGTATTCCGTTTTATCACTAACAGACAACTTGTTTTACTGTCAGTTTTGTTTTCTGTCTATAAAGTTATAACCAAACAACTAGTCGGTCAAATCGAGCAAATAAATTCATACAAAAGCACAAACAAGTATGTCTTCTTGCTATGTCAGCATAGCACGGTGGCCCCGAAATCATTGCAACAGCGTAGTGTCGAGGCATTCATGTCCTTGAATCGTCCAACAGCTTTAGTGTCGAATTACTAGTACTAGTATTTGAGTTGAACGAAAAATGAATGACAAATTTGTTATTGTTGTTGTTGAAGTCGGTCCTCACGACCAACTTTATTCTCGCTGCAGCGCGCCTCATTGTTCTGCGTTGCATGTGCTCGGTTGCAGAGTTCTACTTCACATCTAGTGTCATAGGCTGCGAATCAGACAAAAGAGACCGGTGGAATAGAAGAATCTGCCAGGCGATTCATCAATCACGACTGACCGATTTCGTTCTTAGAGCACATAGCTATGCAAGATAAAATAGCTTTGGGACGCAGGATGCTGGAACCGGTGCATTACAAAATCCGCGAAACCAACTTCAACTTGCCACACGGCGTTGATGCATCAGAACGCTGTAGAAAAGCTGCATGGCCACCTCTCGGGCCACGCCCACGCAACACTCTGTTCATCTTTGGTGCAAAACGACCTCGTCTACGCACCTGCGGGTGTTGACGTGTGTGCTCCACTTCAAGCCGACTTCAACCTCACTGGTGGGATCGGCGCACGCGATTGGCCCACCGGACGATGCGCATCGCTCATTGGCCAACGCTGTCAGTTATAACTCGTCGGTTGCAGACCATAACACACCCGCCACGGTTAAATGCCTCGGATTGGCTAAAAAGCAAGGCGGTTGGCGTCGATGATTGGTGCCATTTACGAAACGAACATCGAAACCATGGCGGTCGCCGATCGGTGCACAATGACCTCGCGGACGGGCCGCGACCTGCAGCGCTACGATGGCCACGCGCGCCTCGTTGTCTGCGCCGTTCCGCTCTCATTAGATGGCGCGCGCGTCCTCCTCATCTCGAGCTCCAAGCATGCAGATCAGTGGATCCTACCCAAGGGCGGCTGGGACGCGGACGAGTCGGCCGAGGCGTGCGCAGCACGAGAGCTCGCCGAAGAGGCCGGGGTGCGACACCGCCGCCAACAGATGTCACCGCATTGACGTACACGACTAGGTGCACGGCGACATCCTCGGCGAGCTCGGCGCCGTCGACTACGAGACGGCGAAAGGCAAGCCCTGCCGCTTGCACGGCTTTGGCATGCGCGTCACACGCGAGTTTGAGGAGTGGTCGGAAGCCGTTAGCCGGCGGCGGGAATGGGTACAAATCGAACGCCTGGCTCGTGCACTTAGCTAACGCCACGTAGGTGTCGTTGGCGACGGCGACAGCACGGCTGGCCCGGCGCCCCGAGCTCGCGTCCATGCTCGAGCGAGCGACCATACTCGCAACGACACTAGAGCACTAAGACAAGAAGTATCTACATGTATAGTACATGGACATGAGGATAGGGGCAGTGGGGATTGCGGAAAGCGAGTTGCGACGGCGTCGCAAGCGCGCAAGATGAGGCGTCACAGCCACTTGTCGCGAGCTCGGGCTGATGTGGTGATGTCGATACACAACAGCAGGGACAAATTCAGCACCGCACGACGGCCGAGTCTTTAGCAAGAAGGCGCGGTAGTGGGCGGATCGTGACAGCGCAAAGGTCCACAGTGCTAGTACAGCGTCGGGTCTCGATCGACGCGACGTCTTGTACAATAAGGGGTCGCCGCCAAAAGCAGATTTGCCACCGCCGCGTGCGCTGCACTGTTCTTGACGCCGGCGTCGACACGCTTTGCACTGAATTCTTCGAGGCGCACACGACCTCTATCGCAGCATGCACCATACACCAGGTGGCCAAGGATGGAGCCGAGCTTGGTCGATTGCAATTCCATTACATCGTCGGGTCGTAATGCCATGTTGCACTATCAACTTTGGGGTATTCTCTCGATAAACATCCCACACTCTTTATATACGCAATTTGACCGGGATACCCGGCCCAGTGTAAAGCGTCATCTTGATATTTAAGAGAATGTACCACATGTCGCAGCATTACACCGCCCGCGACGGCGACCATGCCAAAGCGCTCGGTTGTCGACACTGCCGATTTCTCGTCGACCGCCCACGAGCCACTCCTCTACCACCTCGTACATTACCAAGTCGGATTACTACTGCGACGATGCTCCCACGCGCAGTACTCTCGGTGCTCCTTCTCGCCGCGGCCGCGCTCGCCGCGCCCCGCGGTGTCTGCTACGACGCCTACAACTCGGACAGTGCGTCGGCGCACTTTGCGTCGATCGCGACGCGCTTTGACGCGGTCCGGACGTACCAAACGTGGACGCACAACAGCAATCTCATTGACATTGCGGCGCGCAACGGGCTCGCCATGTACCCGGGCATCTGGCTCCGCGGCAACGGCGTCGACTTTTGGGCCGACCTCCGCGCCGCCGTCGACGGCACCAAGCGCAACCCGGGCACGGTCAAGGCCGTCTTTGTCGGCAATGAAGATTTGAGCAACAACTGGAACGCCGGCGCCCTCCTCGACAAGATCAACCAAGCCAAGAACGCGTTTCGGGATGCCGGTCTCGGCTACGTCCGCATCGGGACGGTCCAGACCGACGGCGACTGGCTCAACAACAACAACGCGTGGCTCGCGGACCACGTCGACGTCGTCGGTGTCAACATTTACCCGTTCTTTGGGTCCCACCCCGACTCGTGGAACAACCCGGTCAAGGACCTCGACGCGCGCTGGAACGCCATGACCAACCGGTTTGGCAGTAAAGTGCTCTTGACCGAAACGGGCTGGCCGGACGCCGGTGGGAACGTCGGTGCGCACGTCTCCAACTGGCAGAACGCGCAAAACTACTTTCGCAGCGCGCAGTCATGGATGGACGGCAACAAGGGCGGCGAGCTGCCCACGTACTTCATGTACCACGACAACCGCGGCAAGCCCAACTACGAAGGCCACTTTGCCTTGGCCGAGCCCAGCGGGCAGTGGAAGTTTGAGTTCAACGCCAAGAAGAATCCGTCCAACAACAATGGTGGCGGCAACGGCAACAACGACGGCGACAAGCCCGCGGGCCAGTTCCAGCTCATGACGAGCCGCGGCAAGGCGCTCCGTGAATGGTACGGTGGACTCGCGGCCAAGGACAACAACAATGACGCGTACACCAAGTGGACGTACGATGCCAACGCACAGACGCTCAAGAACGAAGGCGCCAACAAGTGCCTTGACGCGTACATGGACGGCAACAACGTCAAGGTGCACCTCTACAACTGCGACGGCAACAACTCGAACCAGAAATGGCGCCTCGTTGGCGGCAAGGTCGTCCACGCGCGCTTCGCCAACGTCTGTCTCGACGCCGATGCCAACGACCCGAACGAAGGGGTCCAAAACTGGGCGTGCGTCGACAACAACTCGAACCAGGTCTTCAAGATCTCGACAGGCGGCAGTGGCGGTCGTGTCGCGCTCACGGTCCGCAGCTTGAATCGCGTCTTTGCGATCGGGTCCAACGACCAAGTGCTCTTCCGGTCGCCCCAAGGCAGCATCCAGAGCGACACCAACGCGCTCTGGACGCTCGACAGCAACACACTGGTCAAGTCGGCGGCGAATGGCCAGTGCTTGGACGCGTGGGAGGCCAAGAACGGCGGTGGTGTCCACACGTGGAACTGCGACGGCAACAACGCCAACCAGAAATGGAACTACGACGCCAGCACCAAGCAGCTCCGCCACGCGACGCACAACGGGTTCTGCCTCGACATGGGCTCCGAGAACGGCGACCACCCGCAGCTATGGCAGTGCCACCCCGCGAATGACTACTGGGCCAAGTTCCAGCAGTACGCCCAGGAAAGCTAAAGCGCATCCCCTTTTGCATGGCATCATGATACGCGATCACTACGACGAGTAGTAGTAATCGCTAACTCTTTGATTGTACATCGTGTTGCGGCGAGACTGGAGGGCAATATCAACCATGAACGAGAAGCTGTCGACGGCAAGATGCACTGCCCAGTTTTTGCGCGGATGGACACCGTACACAGCGCAAATGGCATTGTTCTCAACGTGATGTATACTCGCGCTGCCGTGTCAAGGACAGGGCAGTCCGCTGCGTCGACGTATTACCACCTGCCGTTTCAACTTTGTAGGGGCATCGCACCCGCAACGTTCGAGGTCCGAGAATTTTGGCGGACGCACCCGGTGTCACCACAGCTTCGTACCGTCCTCGTCCTCTCGAAAGGCAGAACATTCAGCGATCACGTAACCGATCCAGTGCTCCACGCTCTGCCATACCCACTCGTACCGCGGTGAACCGGTTTGTATCGAAGCGACTAGTGCCAGCCCTAGCCCTAGCCACCGTCGGTTGAAAACAGATGTTGGACCATTCCGCCCACCGGCCGGCGCAAGACCAGGTGGATACCAACGTGGCACTGGCCACGACGCGCGGTGGCCGACGACGCAGCACGCAAGCCTGCGCAAGCCCCCAGGACCTTCCTGCCCGCATTGGCACTCAGTCGTTGAAGTCTAGCACGCATCGTTCGCCAGCGCCTGCTTGCATCGAGCTTGCGCCATTCACTAATACCGTGTTCACAACCCTCGCCAGAGACGCCAGATCCTGTACCACCAGATACACCACGAATCTGGCATCTGGTCGACGCTGTCTCTTCGCGTCTGGCTATGAACGACTTCTCACTTTTTCATTTCGATGCGCGGACTCGCATTTGTCGCTGTTGTTGTCGCCGCGGTCGCCCACGCCGCCGCCGCCGGCATGGGTGTCTGCTACGACATTTACGACGCCAACAACATTGACAAGCACTTCCGCACGATCAAAACGCGCTTCTCGGCCGTCCGCACGTACCAGACGTCTCTCTGGACACCACGCAACGTCATTGACGCCGGTGCGGACAACGGCCTCGCGGTCTACGCGGGCATTTGGCTCCGGGATGGCATGGACTTTAACAAGGAACTCCAGGCGGTGATTGACGGCCACTACCGCCACCCGGGCACGCTCCAAGCCGTGTTTGTCGGCAACGAAGACCTCATGAACAACTGGAACCAGTGGGCGATTCGGGACAAGGTCAACGCCGCACGCAGCCGTCTCCGGTCGGCGGGGATCAATGTGCCGGTCGGGTCGGTGCAGACCGACGGCGACTGGCTCAAGAACCGGGATCTCGCCAACGCGTGCGATATCATGGGCGTCAACATCTACGCCTTCTTTGGCGGGTCGCCCGTCTCGTGGACCAACCCGATCGCGGACTTGGACGCGCGCTGGAAGGCGATGACGCAAGCGTTTGGCGGCAACAAGGTCATGCTCACGGAAACCGGGTGGCCCCACGGCGGCGGCAACAACGGCAACCATGTCTCCAACCGCGGGAACGCGATCGACTACTTCACCAAGGTCCAGGCATGGGTGAACGCGGGCAACGGCGGCGCGGCGCCCATGTACTTCATGTTCCACGACAACCGGCGCAAGTATGGCTTTGAAGGGCAGTTTGGCCTCGCGGACGCCGACAGCAACTGGAAGTTTGACTTTGGCTCGTCGGGCCCGGCGCCGATCGTCGACGACGACCCGCGCTTGAGCTCGCCGTTCCAGCTTATTACGTCGCGCAACAAGGCGCTGCGCGAGTTCTATGGCGCGGCGGCCGCCAAGGACAACAACCAAGACAAGTTTACGCTCTGGTCGTACGACCGGTCGTCCCAGACGCTGCGCAACCTCGGCGCCAACCAGTGTCTCGACGCCTACTACGAGAGCAATGGCCGCCCGCGCGTGCACCTGTTCGCCTGCGACGGCAACAACGACAACCAAAAGTGGCGCGTAGTCGACAACAAGGTCCTCCACGCCCGGTTCTCCAACCTCTGCTTGGACGCCGACCCGAACGACCCGAACGAAGCCGTCCAAGTCTACGCATGCGTCGGCAACAACGACAACCAAGTCTTCCGCATCTCGGACGCCGTGCAGCACGTGCGTCTCCAGTCGCCAGCGTTCAACCGCGCACTCGGTGTCGGTGAAAACGACCAAGTACTTTTTCTCGAGTCGTCG